TGTAGAAAGTCTATGAGAGGAGAAATGAAAAGAATAGAGAAGGATAAGATGGCAGGGAGGTGATGTGTGAATGCGCTGGCCATTCAGTTTAGTATTATGAACTAAGTAAAAAAAAATTGATAGTCAATAGACAATTTTTTTTTAACTTAGCTAGATTTTATATTAAGTCAATAGGTCAATTTTGAACTTGATTGAATTAAAATAAAATGTTAATATATTTATAAAAACTCAATTAAGTAAACAAAAATAAAAATATATTTTAGAAATTTAAATTTTATTAATAAATATAGTTTTTATTTAAGATTGAATGATTTAATATATAAATTATAAGAGAATATATTGATACTATGAATTAAGTTAAAAAATTTGATAGTCAAATTTGACTTATAATTTAAAATAGACAAAAAAAATTTAACTTGCCTGATTTTATATTAAGTCAATAGGTCAATTTTGACCTTGATTGAATTAAAATAAAATATTAATATATTTATAAAAACTCAATTAAGTAAACAAAAATAAAAATATATTTTAGAAATTTAAATTTTATTAATAAAATATAGTTTTTATTTAAGATAGAATGATTTAATATATAAATTATAAGAGAATATATTGATATTATGAACTAAGTAAAAAAATTTAATAGTCAAATCTGACTTAACTTATATTTTAAAATAGACAAAAAAAATTTAAATTTTATATTAAGTGTCAATTTTGACCTTGATTGAATTAAAATAAAATATTAATATATTTATAAAAACTCAATTAAATAAACAAAAATAAAAATATATTTTAGAAATTTAAATTTTATTAATAAATATAATAATTTAATATATAAATTATAAGAGAATATATACATCAATTCAATCTCAAAATAAGAATTAAAAGTTTATTCTTTATTATTATTATTTATTTTAGTAATTTATTAATTTAAAATAGTGATTAATCTTAATTTTAACATAAGATTAATTTAAAATTTTTAACTTAGCCTGATTTTATATTAAGTCAATAGGTCAATTTTAACCTTGATTGAATTAAAATAAAATGTTAATATATTTATAAAAACTCAATTAAGTAAACAAAAATAAAAATATATTTTAGAAATTTAAATTTTATTAATAAATAAAGTTTTTATTTAAGATAGAATGATTTAATATACAAATTACAAGAGAATATATTGGTATTATGAACTAAGTAAAAAAATTGGATAATTAAAATAGACAAAAAAAATTTAACTTAGCCTGATTTTATATTAAGTCAATAGGTCAATTTTAACCTTAATTGAATTAAAATTAACTATTAATATATTTATAAAAACTATTAAGTAAACAAAAATAAAAATAAATTTTAGAAATTTAAATTTTATTAATAAATATAGTTTTTATTTAAGATAGAATGATTTAATATATAAATTATAAGAGAATATATACATCAATTCAATCTCAAAATTAAAAATTTATTCTTTATTATCATTATTTATTTTAATAATTAATTAATTTAAAATAGTAATTAATCTTAATTATTAAATCTTAAAATAAGTAATTATTAAAAATTTATTAGGATATATATTCTTAAAATAAGTGAATTTTTTATTAGATTAATTTATAATATATATATATATATATATATTAATAAAATAATTTTTATTTAAAAATAATTATTATTCTATAAAACAGACTAATTTATAAATTTAGGATTAGTTTAACTTAAATTTATATGACTTAAATAAACTGAGTTAAAATAGACATGATTCAATTTAAATTACAAATTTTTTTATTAATCTCATCTATCTTTTAGATTTTTTAAATCATTCCATCGAGTTAAACTTATGATTTCTCTGTTGATAATATCAAATATTTTGCATGATTGCCAAACTAAAACACCGTTAGGCATGCAAAATTAACAATACTACATAAATTGTCATTTTTATCTTCAGCTGCATCTGTAAAATTAAAGATGGAAAAGACTTGAATAATAATGTAAAAAATAACCTCATACCAAAATGTATGACGATGATAGGATATATATTTAGTGTTGTTCTGCCAACAATCTACTGTTAAATATAGCAGTGGAATTGGAAGGTTAATTTTTTTTCCCTTATATCAGTCTTGTCTGATAGATGACAGACTCCATTTCTTACTTTTGTATGTTGTTATAAAGTTAAATTCAGAGGTTCATTGCAGCTTGGCTTGGCTGTACAAATGCTGTAGCCAAAGTTCTTCAACCTCACATCTACATCTACTAATGCCTCTCAATCAGTTTCTCTATCTCCAATAGTGTTAATTTTAGTTCTCATTTTTTTCTCTCTTAGAAGTTGTAGAAAAAATTGCTTAAACAAGTACTTAATCTCTTTTGAAATTTATGAATGGTGAAATTTATGAATGGTGAAATTTAGTGATTAGAACATTATAATGTGAACTTTTAAATCAAAAGGAAATTAAGCTTTCCATCATATATTATTATTCACCTTTTACTTTTTTTTTTTCTAATGTTTCAGAACACAGGTTTTGTGAACTGATATTGGATAGAATATTTGTTCAACTGTGGAAGAAACCTTTTGACTTTTGTCTTCTAGAAAATTAGAATGGAAAAAAGAAAAATTGTGACTGAGAAATAAATAATCATCGCCAGACTCAAACATAAATCTGTTATTACCAATAATAATAAAAAAAATAAAGTATAATGATCAGAAAAGCTTTCTCTGTAATTTTTTAAATGTTCACGGTACAGACCAAAACTAAATTTCCATAAACATAATTTTAAATTAAAGAATATATAAATTACTGAAAATAATAATTTGTAATTCCGCATTAAAAAAATTATAATAATAAACGAATATACGTTTTTTTTTTTTTTTTCAAATCTGTACATAGAAATGGAAATTTGAAAATCCAGTAGCCAGAATCAAGTGCATGTTGATGTGAAACTTTCCATAGAAAAACTTGCAACTTTAAAAGAGACCGCTAAAGTTATTGAAAAATAAGGTTATCATTAAGTAAACATGTGTTATAACTCGATTTAAAATGGTTGTAATTTATGGTTTATTACACTCCTTAAAAAATAACAATAAAAATTATATTTTAAAATAATTATATTCTCTAAAAAAATGCATTACTTGATATTATTTGGGAAATTGTTGTATGATGAAAATTTCATTTTTAAAAATATATTCATATAAGAAAATAAGTTTCAGTCAAGTGATTATTGAAAGGAATGTATTGAAAATTAATATATATATATCAATGATAAAAAGTCATTTCATGTCTTAGGACTTTAAATAATTTTTTTAGAAAGGTTTAGGATTGGAATAGGGATTGTTACAATTTATTAAATTTTTTTATTGATAAAAGTTTGTTTTGAACGACATATAGGACAATTTATAGGATTTAACAACCATTTTGATTTATAGGTCTATTATTAAGGAAGATTTTGATAAAATCTTGAACTAATTGTCTTAATCTTAACTACTTGACGTTAGTAAAATTTATCAATAAATTGATTCTTGAGTTTGAAAATTAATATCCATTTGAGACGTAACCTGTATGATTATAAGTTAGACTCACATGTAGACTCCACAATTCACTCTTTTTATAAAATAATAATTATTTTTTAAATAAAAATAATATTATTTTATTAAAAATTATATAAATATTGTATACATTAACTTTACAATAGATTTACTCAAATATGAAACTAAGTTTTTAATAACCATTTATTTTAAGATATAATAATTAAAATTAATTATTATTTTATATTAATAAATTAATAAAAAATAAATGATAATAATAAAAAGTATATCTTTAACCGTTATTTTGAGATTGAATAGATTATTATTTTATAATTTATATATTAAATTATTATATTTTAAATAAAATTAATTTTATCGGTATAATTTAAATTTTAAAAATATATTTTTATTGTTAAAATTTTTAATTTTAATTAATTATTTTGATATAAATATGTTAATATTTTTTAATTTGCAACTAGGCCAAAATTATCTTGTTTATCCATTGACTTAATAATTATAGTTCGTTTTAAAATATAGGTTAAGTTGACTATAATTTTTTTCTATTTGTCCTATAGAATCAAATCAATCTAGATCATATTACTCATTTTGACAACTCTAATTTAAAAAAAATATTGAGAATTTTTGTAAAATTATTATAAATGTAAAATAGTTATTTTATACCAAAAGACAAAAATAAACTAAAAAAAATGGAAATAGAATACAAATTGTGACTAATTAATAAATATATAATAGAAATTAGGAAGATGAAAACTATCTAATCAATTGGTTAAGAACCCAATTGTAAATGTTAAAAAATAAAAACTATAAATATTATAATTACTCATGGACTAATTTAAAAAACAATAAGGAGTAAATTGTAATTAATAAGAACTATCCAGATCAAATTGTAGTTTAGGAAATTTTGGAGATTCATATATAATTGTGAAAAGTATTTAGAAAATAATTGAATTAAGAAAACCTTAGAGATAAAGATGAGAATTTGAGCATAATTGAAAATCCCTAAATTATTTGTTAAATCTACAATTCAAAATTACTATTCTTAGAAAAGGTGATAAATTATATTGCTGATAATAAAAAAGTCATGAAACATTGTTGACCATCATAGACCATGCTCAAAAACCATTACATAATTTCCAAACATTGTTTTTAGAAGCCAAAAGCCACATGAAAAGACTGATTACTACTCTAGTTAGGAAGTCTAGTTTAAATATGGACTTCTATCTTCTTTGTTCTCCTCTGCTTACAAACTGGGTAAGAAGAAGTAGAAATCTGCAATTAAGATGAATGCAAGAATCGGATCTTAGCTCCCCCGGCTCTACGACCCCGCAAGAGCTCTTTGGGAGAGACTTTCTCGATCACAACTTCTCACTTATCTCACTGACAGACTAGCAATTCAAGAACAATTTCTTTCTCTTACGCAATTTATACTCTCCACAACAATCTGTATTTCGAAACAAGGAAAAGGATTCTCGACATGCTATGCAAGGCGACAAGTGCTACTTCCTGTTAGACGAAGCTTAATGTGTTTTCTATTGGACTTGGTTGAGTTGAAGAAGAAAAGAGAGTGAGTTTTATTCCTTTCTCACTGAGGAAACTTGGCAAAGGTTTCCAAGCCGTAGTCCAAGAGGCAAAGGTTGTTTGCCTTGCTTTCAAACTGACTTGCCTTCCATATCCTATTGGGTGAAAGTCCTATTACTGTTATACCCGTCTACCCGGTCTTACTATGAGCCCTCCCACTCTTGGAAGAAGTCACACCTTAGACACGGTAGGTAAGATTAGAACTTAAAGGCCCTTAGACCATTACACAATGGAGCACTTGCTTACACCACTAGTTAGAGAACTGGGGAAGGGGGAAGAAAGGAGCAACTTAGATCTCCTGAAGACCGTCCTCCTTATGTGATGCTTACTAATCCAGCGGATCCCTCACCAGATGCTTAGTCAGAGCCATTCTCCTTGTGCTTTTATAGACTACTATAATAGACTCTTTAGGAGAAACATTCTCCGCTTTGGCTTTCCTCTGGAAGCTCTATTGTTAGACAGACCTTAGCGGACTACTTATTTGAAGCTTGACTTGTTCTCAGGATCTAAACTGACTAGAAAGAAGAAGCATTAACGGATGAAAGAAACGATGAAAAAAAAAAGGTTGTTAGCTCTTGCTTTGCCTCGGATGCGACACCCTCTATTCCTAAACTAGAGAGCGTCAGGGATGCTTTGGAATAAGCTAAGCTCTTCCAGTGAGAGTGGCCTATCCACTGCGCCGATCCCTTTTTTATTCTTATCAGCGGGATATGGAACTAGTCCTCTGCGATTGCACGACCTTTCCTCACCACCAAAAAAGAAAAACAATCCAACGCCTAGAGTTGATTTTTAGGTAGCCTAATTCTTTCTCCTTAAACATATAAAGAGGAGTAACGACGGGACAGGTCACGACTACGTGTTTGACTCCGGCCAGAGAGTTCTTTTGTCCAACTACTACTCCAACTCTATAGAAGAGACGGTCAGGCCTCTCCCTCCCTGGGAGGACATGTTCTATTAAGAATGATAAAAAAAAAATTCAAGCAAGAAAACAATTTGAAAACATTCAACTTCATTCTTTCTCACACCAAATTATTCTGTGCCCTTCTCACTCGGTGATTTTTTTTCTAAAAAAAAATAAAAATAAATCAAGAGTTCTTACACCCTCGTTGTGAGACTTGTTGAGCCCTACCTCTCCTACTTCAAACAAAGGCCGGTCATCAATGATGAAAACCTACAATTATTGTCACTCACTACAACAGAAATGGGCTTATGGGCTTATGTGAGAGCACTTTAGATAGCAGTTAATAAAAATTGCTTTTAAAAATACATATTAGATAGCGGTTAGGAATAAACCGCTATCTAAAGTATGTTTTAATAGCGGTTCAGAAAGAACCGCTTTCTAAAATAATTTATAATAGCGGTTGTGTGATAATCGCTATCTAATGTCATACTTTAAAAGAGCGGTTGATACGTGGAACCGCTATCATAACTTTAGATAGTGGTTACTTCGTGGGACCGCTATAATAAATTTAGTTTAGATAGCGGTTATTTGGTCAACTGCTATCTAAAGTCATATTTTTTTAAACCCTACACCCACTTTCTTCAACTTCGCACTCTTTGTGTCTGTGTTTTTTTGCCGCTCTCATTCTCGTTGTCTGCATCTTCCATTAAGCTAAAGGTACGTTCTTTGTGCCTTCAATCTTTCTGATTTTCTTACTCTCATTGAAGCATATTACATTGTAATATATTTGTGTGTCGCCAAGTTCGCGTTCCAATCTCCATTCGCCATTGTTGTTGTAGGACACGCTTATTGGGAGGTCTACAATAGGTTAGTGCATTATATATTTTTTAGGGTTTGAGTTTGTCTACATTGTGATCTAAAATTGTTTTTTGAAATAGAATATAGGTTGGCTAGGATATATAGATAGTTTAGTGTGACCGTGAAATATTTTGTATTAGAGATTATGTATGATGTTTTTGCTGATAGTTTTTGTATTAGAGATTAAGTATACAGTATAATGTTTAATTAACAAATGATAATTATGACATGGAAAACTTTATTCTCAAATGGGATAGGGTCATACCCTGTGAGACAAAAATAGTAGATAACATATGGATGTAACAAATTTAGTGTGCCTCAGGCAAATATGGATCGAAGTTGGATGAAAGTTGGTCGTTTGAGCAAAGTATACGAAGATGGAGTGAAGAAGTTTATTCAATTTGCAATTGACCATAGTCATGACCAAAACCTCATTTGTTGCCCTTGTTGGTGTTGTTTGAATATGATGCGAGTAAATGTTGAAGAGTTGGAAGAACATCTAATGTGTAATGGAATTAATGATAAATATATAAACTGGACAAAACATGGTGAGATAGAAAGAGATATTTCGTCACTTAGGATGGATGTAAATAGCTTTTACTCGGAGACATTAAATTCTGAGGAAAATGATCATGTTGAAGACATCCCCAATGTTATTGAAGAAGATCTTAGAGACTGTCCAAGGATATTTGAGCGATTGAAAGATGATGCAGAAACACCATTGTACTCAGGATGCCCAAATTTCACAAGACTGAGTGTCGTTTTGAAGCTCTACAATTTAAAAGCCTCACATGGATGGAGTGATAAGGCTTTTACTGATCTGTTAAGCTTAATAAATGACATGCTACTAGAAGACAATGTCCTACCTAGGAGAACATATGATGCAAAACAAATCCTTGGTTCCATTGGTTTAACTCATGAAAAGATCCATGCATGTCCTAATGACTGTATTTTGTTTCGAAACGAGTATGAATCGTTTACAGAATGTCCAAAGTGTAAGGCGTCACGATATGTCAAGAAAAAATCTACACCAGCTAAGGTTATGTGGTATTTTCCATTTATACCAAGGTTGAGAAGGTTTTTTCGCAGTCCTGAAATTGCAGAGCAGATTACTTAACATTCCGAAGGTAGGATTATAGATGGTAAGCTTAGGCATCCAGAACATTCTCCTCAGTGGAAAAGATTTGATGATGAATATGAAGACTTTGCAGCTGAAATAAGAAATATACGCTTTGCCTTAGCAACTGATGGAATGAATCCTCATGGAATATAAAGTAGCACACATAGTACATGGCCGGTGATTCTAATTTTGTATAACTTACCTCCCTGGCTTTGCATGAAGCGAAAATACATGATACTTTTGTTGTTAATCTCTGGTCCTAAACAACCCGATAATGACATTGATGCGTATTTATCTCCTTTGATTGAAGATTTGGAGATGTTGTGGGATAGCGGTGTTGAGGTCTATGACGGGTTCAAAGAAGAAACATTCACAGTTAGGGCTATGTTATATGGTACAATTAATGATTTTCGTGCATACGGAAATATTTCTGGATATAGCATAAAAGGACAATGTGCATGCCCTGTATGTTATAATAATACTGATTATATTAGGCTTGGTAATTGTCATAAGAATGTTTTTATGGGTCATTGAAGGTGGTTGCCACGTAATCATCATTTTAGAAGAATGAAAAAGGCATTTAATGGAGATACTGAAGAGCGAATATGTCCCTATTTGAAAACTGGAGATCAAATCTTTGAAGAGGTAGAACATATTAAAACGAATTTTGCTAAACTGTTTGCCAAAGAACTGCCTACTGGAGGTTGTAAGAAGAAGTCTATTTTTTTTTAGTTACCATATTGGAAATCACTTTATGTTAGACATTTTATTGATGTTATGCATGTTGAAAAAAATATATGTGAAAGTCTTCTTTGGTACGTTATTGAACATGCCAGGAAAGAAAAAAGATGGCATCAATGCAAGGTTGGACTTGATGAATATGGGAATACTATCTGAATTGACACCAATCAAAAAAGGAAAGCGAACATTTTTACCACCGGCAACATTTACTCTTTCTAGAAATGAAAAACGTGTATTTTGTGAATGCCTTTATTCAGTGAAGGTTCCTGAAGGTTACTCATCAAATTTTAAGAGTATTGTATCATTGAAAGATCTGAAGTTAAAGGGTATGAAGTCTCATAATTATCATATATTAATGGAGAATATCATACCAATAGCAATATGATCTATTTTATCCAAAAAGGTCCGTGTGTCAATTACCAAGCTTTGTTTTTTCTTTAAGACAATATGTAGCAAAGTCATTGACCTTGCAAGATTACTAGCATTGTAGAACATGAAGAAGCTCTCATGGATGAAGTACATTGATGAAACTCTTAAGCTCTGTATTTGTCGATACTATTGACGTTAACGGAACACATAATCATTGACTCTATAAAGGCTATTCTAGAGAATCATTACATGCATGATGATCAAAGCCTAAGTAGAAGTAGAGTTGTTATTGAACAAGAGGAATCTAGTATTGTTCGACTCAAGACCGATGAGAAATAGATCCTTTGGGAACATGAATAGTTCTTGTGTGCACACAATTATGAACATGAATGCAATTAGGATCAGGTAACCAGTGTGGAAGTTCACTCTTGAACTAGGATCCACGTTCTAACCTTTGAGGAACTATCCTCTGAGACTGTGAAGCTCCCAAACAACAAGCACAACATGTTCTTTTCTCATTAACATTTTTTGTAATTAAGTAGCATTACTATGTGAAGAGTCTCTTTATGGAAATGAAGGGTTAAAAAAGATAAGCTTTTTAGAAATCAAGACCAATTTTGATGATAATAAATAAGATTAAATTTTGAAGTATTTAATATGTGTCTTAAGTGTGTCATAAAAAATAAATTAATAATGCAGATCTTGACCATTTATCATCATGGCTAAATAATATATTATTAATAAATAATAAATGAATATAAAAAAGTAATAAATAATAATTGATTATGAAAATGTGAAATAATATGAAAGAGTAAGAAATCAAATTTGTAAATATATATTTAATAATCATTAAGTTTGGGGGAAAAAAATCATAAATAGTAATGTAAGTTATATAAATTTTGGAGGCTATGACCCGTCACCTCTTAATAAACTTTATTAGTAAGAGTGTTCATTGTTTATTCTCTCCTTGAGAGTTATTTCAGTACATACAGAAAAGTTATTACTATATCCTTCACTTAGTGAAGTAAGCCTTTTATTAGGAGTGCAAATTGTTTATCTCTCTACAATAGATATTTTTGTGATTGAAATACTTAAAATCATCTTGTAATCAAGAGTGACAATAATAATACTCATGTTCTTAGTCTTAGGAGGAGATTAAGGTTGATAAATAGGAGTGACTCGTCGTACTCATTGGTAGCTAAGAGTAACAACAAATAATATTCGTGCTCTTAGTCTTAGGAAGAGATTAAGGTTGATTTTCAGGAGTGACTTGGTGTACTCATTGATAGACAAAAGTGGTTCGATGTACTCGGTGTAATCTTGTTGATTATAGTGAAACCCTTTAAGTATTATTAAAAATAGGCACGACAA